TATCATCCATCCCCCCCCCCCAATATTTTGACTATGTATGGGATAAAATGGAGCTTTACACACTTCAGAAGACTGTCACAGAAATAACTTTCACTGTCTTATGCGCTTACATATTTAGCATAATGTATTAAATGTTGATAACAAAATTATTTTAATCTAAGCTCTTCTTTCGTTATGTTAGATGTGCTTGCAAAGAGAGCCACATTTCACACTGAAGGGTGTGTACGACATCAGTTTATGTCAGTTCCAAGAATGTTTAAGGTTATATCGGTTGATGAGGAATTTATAGATTGGGCCTATAATAGAAAATTGCATCAATTTATTTTGCAAAAACAAGGTTTCCAGCTTCAGAGGGGGCACATCCCCTGTCCGCACAAGGGCACACATTGGTGCTAACACCAGGCGCGTAACAGGGGTCTTTGGTCAGAGTGGGTATTTATTTTCCCGGTTAGTAATTTACCCACTCCCCATATAGAAAACAATACGACATAGGGCTTATCTTATTTATAATATAGGCCACACATGTGTGCTTGAAACTAAATATAAGCATTTTCATCATGGTTTTATTTATTAGAAACATATTCTTTAACCATCAATACACATTGAGGCCCTTCTTTTTGGTTAAAACGATCTATCTTAAATTTGTCTTTCTTGAGTTTGGGACTATTATGTGTTTAAATAACTTAAAAGGATAAACCTAAAAAAGCTCTAAAAAATGCGCGCGAATCGCAAAATATTTCGTCGGAATTGATGAAAACTCCCTAAAATGTGCAATTTATAGAGAAAATTGGCCTACCGTAACAAGAAATGCGCGCAAAGAATTTGAGAATTTTAGGCACTTTCAGAGGATGCATTTGTCAAGGGGTGGGGAAAGATTTTCCAAAGATGGATATTTTCTCCTTGTCCCCCGGTGTTTTTAATTCTAATTTTGTTGGAATTGATCAAAACTCCCTAAAATGTGCAATTTTTCGAGGAAATTGGTAACAAGAAATGCGCGCGAAACGCGGGAAATTTGAGGTTTTTAGGCAGTTTCAGGGGATGAAAAGGCATTTATAAAGGGGTAGGGAAGATTTTCCAAAGATAGATATTTTCCCCTTGCCCCCAAGTGGTTACGCCATTGGGCAGCATAGATCAAAGGAGTTATGACAGTTTTTGAAGTGGAGAAGGGGTTGCAGGGTGTTGTGAGTCTGGTCATTATGATATCTTCCTTTTTATTCTTGTCTATATTTTTCTCTTCTCTTTTTCTTTCCTTTTCTTTTCCTCTTCTTTCTCTTTCCCTCCCTCTCCCCTCTTTCTTTTCTCTTAGCCAGTCCGGTATGACGGCTTGGTCAGCCCGGTAAAAACCGTCAGTTGAGGGGTAGTTTTCCCCAAGTTTAGTGTAAAAGAATATATTTATTATATATGATCTGTCTCTTATACACATCTAGATGTGTATAAGAGACAGCCACTGCACAGGGCTTCGATGAGGACTAGCCTAGAAGTAAACTTGTCTCAGCTAGCCCTGGAACTGGATTTACAATAACAAAAAATGACAATGAGAAGCAGAAGTACAGTCAAAATAAACATCAATGACACTGACTATATATATATTTGGACATAAAGGGTATCTTCAGTTCCCTAATTACCATTTTCTTGAAAATATTAATACTGTAATTATTAACATTAACTACTGGCTTTAAAATACACTTAATATGCATATTACTGGTTTCAAGTTTTATAAATAAAAACATACAAAATAAAAGATACTATTCATACTACCGACTCCATACATTAAGTATTCATTATAATGTTCATACAATTCCACATAATCAATAGTAATCACGCACTCTTTTTCTGAATTTCTTAACATGACTGAAGGACTAGAATCTGTAGTAGTTTTATTATCAACCAGAAATAACACATCTTCAATTATTCTTTCATTGAACCCAACATTCAAAATATTATTGTCCACATAATGTGATGCAAGGGAATCATACCATTAATGTTCCATAGTAAGCGCAAAAATGGGAATAGAAGATAACTAACCTTGCATTGGATTTGTTTTTTGATTCAGATTTATCTGAGTTGGTGCAATTTCTGACTCATCACTGTAGCCTTGCCTTTCACACGCACCTTGTGCAAGTACAACAGGCTTCTCTTGCCTCAAAGCATTCATCGTGATTGGTACTTGGTTTGTTGATTGGTGATCAATTTTTCCATATTTTCTCTGGTAGTATGACTCAAGTTCTTCCTTGATATTTATTCGTCCAACTTTGTTCAGTGCTTCACTAATTATTTCGAGATGATTAACTTCAGCTTTCTGTCTTTCTCGCCACTGTACCAACATTTCAATATAGGCGTCTACAATTGGTGGTGAGAGGCCTGATTCAATTCGATATATTTCATACTCCTTCATACCAAGGTAGATGCCGAATTTTGACAAGTATTTTCCATCAAGTTTTTCAGAAATAAACACAATGTCAATATCATCTAAGCAACCTGTAATAAAACATACATTTCCAATAATAATACTGTATAAGGGAGCCTCGCAAAATAAAGCAACGCGTATACGAGTGGACCACGCGATGCGATTAAAGGCAGTTTAATCCCATAGTTGGCCACGCGTTGGGATTATTTTCCTGGGCTACTCCACTTCGTAGTGGGGAAAGATGTGTATAAGAGACAGTCCCTATGGTATTTGACTACAACACACAAATCAACAATCTTTCCCGCTGCATCAAACGTGACTTTTCTATCATTCAAGACAATCTCTCCTCTGTGGAAGCATTCAGAGATCCCCCTGTCTTGGCTA